CACTGCTTCACTCTGCAATTCACCAATGAACAGATAGATATCTGATAACCAGGAAGCGTGGAAGCATTTCCACAATTTATCCTTCATCTGTTGTGAAGTTCAAATACTTATGAAATGATTAAAAAGGAAAGTTTTAGACTGGTACTACTTTTTATTAAGCATCCCACACTGCAGCAAGATGTGCATGTGTTTTATGTTAAGGCGCAAAGTTTCAAATTTAACCAAATATAGCCCATTCAAGTGCTGGCAGTCTTTTATTAGTGTTGGGCATCGCTAACTAAAAAGCTAGCTGTGGTGTGCTAACCCACTAATCACAAATATTTTAGCTAATGCTAAATCACTAAAGTACAAATTATATCTGCCCTTGAAAGGCTACAAACCTCAAGAACCAATTTAATTTTGACAATTTACAGGATCTATGATGTCCCTATATTTATGCTTATGACTTTTTTCACTGCTGTCCATGTTTTACTTTCTTCCAGGTTGTTTCTTGTTTGAAATAAAGTAATTGGGCACAGGGGTAAAAAAAAGAGACATGAGGAAACAGAGCATTAACATAAACAGTCTTCACCCTCGATAATCAAAACTTCAACTTTATTTATTTAAACAACCAAGTAAAATACATCTAAGAAGTCCATCTTTAGCTTCAGGATTCAAGCAGAAAACTGAAGGGTTAAGGTCAAAACTGATAGATATTTTTAACCATAGTTTTAAAGAAGGGAAAACTAACTCTTAAGAATAATGGGCAACCAGTTTCTGCTCCATCTTTTAAATAATTTTGAAGAAACGCCCAAGCTCTGTAATGGTCACATGTTCTTCATTTATTGACAACTGTCACTTTGAGGCGTTGTATTTATACGTCATGTAAAAAGACACTATTGGTATAATCATATTTTCATGGCTGAAAGCCACGTTATTTAAGGTTGAGTGAGAAAAAAGTGACTATACCAGGAAATTACAGATAATTTAATGTGTTAACACTGTTCTGCTCTAAAATAATTCAAAAATATTCCTAAAGTGCCTTATTTTTTTCTTTTGATTCAAGCCTAGATTCTCCTCCAACAAATCAACCGAGTGGCTGAAAAAACTAAGGAAGTCAGACAGATTCAGGTTTTCCCTTTCAGCTGGCACTGAATTTAAACTGACATGAAGTGCAAGGTGCAACACTGTCTCTTTGTACACACACACACACACACACACAGATTGATGCATGCAGTCTACATTCGCAACCCTCTCAGACTGCATACTTTAACTTTGATGTGACCTGTAATATTCATTGCATTCTTTGTCCCCGTTTTTCCTCCTGTTGACAGGCAACCAACACTTCTACGTCCTTCCAGTCTGCGAGCTCTGCTTTGTAGTTTCAAAAATGGCAGAGAGCTTCTTATTTCGGATCTCTTCTTCCGCCTCCAGTTGCTCACATTGTCTCCGTTTCCCAGCCTGTGCCACATTTCTCCGTCTCCAAGCCCCATCCTAACTGCTGCCTGCAGCTAAACATGCCAAACTCTCAGCTTCGTCTTCGCATACATCTCGGCAGGGTTCTTTCTCAACGTTTTCGCGTTCCCCACCTCCGTCTGATTCTGCCTGTCTTTTACACCTGCCCTCGTTCCTTAATCTGTCCCCTTTTCCTTCTTGCCTCCCTGTGGCTCCCTCCCCCCGTCATGTAGTGAGCAGGAAGGCCAGCAGGAGAGCATATAATTTCTCAGAGGAGGTGCTGTCAGTTGACTGCCTCTCCAGGCTGAGAGTTGCTCTCCTCGCCCCTGGGTTCACAGAGTCACGGCTCTGTTCCACTCCGGGATTATGCAGATCTTAATTCCCTTCCGTTCACACCTGAGGGTGGCAGGGCATGAAATAAGGAAAGTGTTCAGTGTGAACAAAAAAAGTTTTTTGGCACTGAGTGGGGAAAAGAAAGAAGCTAAGGAAGTTTGGAAAGCAGGAAAGGAGGATAGGCTAAGACAAGTGGAAATTAATGATGAACAGAAAAATCAAGATGTATTTCTGCTTCTGCATCCAGAAATACTGAACACAACCTTGACTGATGCTTTCCCTTATTGCCTGCAGAAGCAAAGCCACAATGACCCCAACCTGTAAGCAAGGCTGGCAGCTGTGTAACAAAATTAAATTCAAACACAACAGGTTGATAAATGCACCAGTTGCACACATATAGAGAAAAACCTAAATGGCCAAAGTTCAACTCTTATCTGCAGGATTTTCTGGCAAAAAGAAGTACTGCTAATTATATTAGTTTGTCTGAAAGGAAGTAAAGCACCTTGCTGCAATAAGACAGTCAGCTGACAAAACCTCTTCGACTAGTTTAGCTAGAAGGAGATATTGATCTTAAGCCATTTTTGAAGCCTGGTCTCTGTTCCCTTGTAAATCTCTTCACAATCTTCCAATGCAACAGTCATCACTGTTTGTCCACCTTTTAAACCATACACTTTTTCCTTCCACTAAACCTTCTATTACTATACTTGGACGCAAGTATAGTAATAGTTTTAGCACAGATTTTTGTGCTAAAACCTCTTAGCCCACTGTATTATAACCGATCCGCAATAAACACAGAACCACAAAGGCCCCCATCATTGGTTTGTTTGCAAATGTATTTTTGCAAATCTATCCACAGATCCTGTGTAGAAGTGTTGTGCAACATACTCACTGTATTATTTGCATAACATTCTGCTGATCAATGTCTTATTTAGTTTATTCAGTGCTTTTCCAATGTGTACATGATCAGATTGTGAAGCTGTGAAAATATCCAAAGACGCAGCAAGTTACTGTAAAGCTTTACTCTCAAACCAGACGTACAGTCCCCCCTTAGCTGATCTCAAAGTCCCATTCAGCAAAGCTCTAACAATCATCATCAGAATCATTACTGTCAGGCATGCCATTGCCCTCTTCAGAAGCTGCAGCTACACCAGCAGCTGTCATTTATTGTATCCATAAAAATATCCCATCTACCATGCTTAAAGCACAACGTACAGAAGTTACTGTTATGCCCACTAAAGAGATTCAAATCTGAGACATGAGAGAAAATTCTGCTCAGTGATTCAGAAATGTCCTGCCTGAGACACCCCCATGTCTCCCAGTTTGGCAAGCGTAGCTAAAATGTTTTAGCTAATAAGTTTTTGCGAACACTGGTACATCCAATTTCTATGCACCACAAATCTGGAACAAACTTCCAGAAAACTGCAAAATCAAGGCTAAAACCTCACTTGTTCTGAGTTGCTTTCGAGCCATAATCACTCAAATATCGATCAATATATTTGATGTGTATTGACGATTTTGATGATGACATCAACAAAATGTAATGTTTGTTTCTTAATTGTTGATTGTAACATGTTTTTATGACTTATTTTTATGTTTTTGTGATGTAAAGCACTTTGAACTACCTTGTTGCTGAAATGTGCTGTGCAATTAAACTTGATTGGTTGATAAATGGTATGGGCTTCAATTTTCAAATTGAATTCATCAAATAAATTGTCTTTTTTATTTAAATTATTGAGCCGCAATTATCGAGACAAGTTCAATGTAAATTTGGGTTTGAAGTTCATTAATTGTCAGGTCTTGTACCCCAGGATGACTTTCTGTCTCGCAATGCTCTTTATGTATCCCAATATTTTGGGTCTGTGCATGTTTTGGTAATTGGATGTTCTCATGAGAAACTAAAATAAAGAAGTGGTAGTGTGATTTCTGTTTTAAAAAGTGAAAATATTATATTGAAATACAAGATATCTTTACTTTTTTAAAAAGTCAAAGGCAGGTAAGAATGAAAGAAACATGAAAAGACTGAATTTCTTTTCATGTTTCAAATCGATAAAGTATAAGACCGCAGGCATAGAGAAAAATTGATTTTTATATTACTAAGCAGGCACCTGATTCTGCAACCATTATATATTGAGACTGTAGGAGGCACTGTTTCTTCTGTGCGCCCTAAAAGTGTCAAACCACTTTTTTTAACCACAAAAAAGTGCACATACAGGCAAAATTATCCACCCATTGTTTATACCACCTTATTCTCACCCCACGCCCATCACATGGAACATAATCATGCACTCCTAATGGTAACATTGGACAGAGTTACTGTAACATTATGGACTGTGCAAGGAAGCCAGAGTACCCGAAGAGAACCCACGCATGCACAGGGAGAAAATCTATGCAGAAATACCACATGCAGGATCGGATTCAAACCCAGGACTTGCTTGCTGCAAAGCAGCAGCAGGAGCACAGTGCAGCCCTGAATAAGAGCATAGTGAAAGCTACATAAAAATAAATAAATATTTTTGAAGAGTTAGATTTTTAAAAAAGCGTCTTTTTAATTCAAGGCATGTCAAACACCGCCCCCCATATATGGGCAGTGACGTCACCCGTTATTGAAGCATACACTTTGCTAGTAGACTGATGTTATTTTTCTGTTTATTTTTCTCTCCTCTTTGATAAAAGAAAATGTAATTATATTTAAGTTTGTGTTTATCCGTTTTTTACACACACACAAAAATCATGTTTGCATTTTTAAACAAAACAGCACTTTTTAAATTTTATTTTATTCTAGTTTCTGAAAAGAAAATATAATTAACAAGACAAGGATTTGCGGCTTAGTAGGGAAGCGATTGTTTTACCAGTGAGGATATTGCTCAACCACAATAAGTAATAATATATCTAAAGTTTCTTTAAGCGACTACGCTTCCTTAAGTCATTGAAGAGGTGTATTTTCGGAGTTGTGTGATTTCTGTGTGCGTAAAAACCTGGAAGAAAAAAAAAACGCGCTCAACATTGTTCCAGGTTATCAAAATATTAAACATAAATTCAGTTTTCCCTCTTGGTATATTATTGAATCCATATGTGATTTCTGAGAGAGATTAAATGAACTGTTTGTAAGTAATACAAATTATTACAGCGCACAGTTAATGTACAATTTCGAAAAAAAAGTTTGTGCCAATCAAATACCAAAAAAAGAAAGAAAACTCGCATCGCTTAATTATTATTTTTTTAAATCTTCTTACCTGATGAAACCTCCTTGGAAGACGCAAAAAGACAAGACATACAAAATCCGAATGACTTGTGGGAGCATCCTCTGGCTCAGAATCTCTTCCTGTCCCCGCTGAATAACTTGGAAAAATAAGAAATAAAAATCAGCAAATCCACAGAGCCACCTGTGAGACCCGTCTAAAGGAAGAAGGCATCGTCTCTCAGCTGGATCCAGACTCGTCTTTGGGGAAACTTCTCCCCCTTCCACCCAGACCAGGGGGGTCTTCCACGCATCCACGCAGCGGGAACTGTGCTTGTGGCGGCTGAACGGGAGCTGGTCAGTCTGTTAGCGTGTTGCTGCTGATGTCGGCTCGCCACTGTCTGCATGAATGTGTTTTAACATTGCTTGGTTTCCCTTGTCTCCGTATTTCCCTCCCTCGCTCCAAAAAAATTAAAAGTGGGGAAGATTTAAAGGAACAGACCCATATTTTTCTCTCCCCCCTTTTTTGTGAAGCCTGACTCGTTTTTAATTACCTTTAATACTAAGGAATAGTTGGGGTGAGATCATTTTCTGTACTTAATTTGAATCTAAGATAATAATAATAATAATAATAATAATAATAATAATAATAATAATAAACATTAAAAATATAGTAGTGAATGGAGATTATGTTAAAATTTGTGTTTGTGAATCAACACTTGCTTGAACTGCTTAAGTAGATAATGACTTTTGAAGGATATCCTGTTAAAAAAAGAATAGACATCCACTGGCCACTTTATTAGGTACAAGCCTGTCCGTCATTTCTCAGGTGATTCTGCATTGTTAAGTGTGTAGACAATGGATGGATGTAATTGTTTTGAGAAGATGGCAGCCCACTTTTGTCCTAGCTATAGCCTTCCGGTCTGGCTAATCTGAATTCATGCAAACATGCTGATGCAGTTAACTGTTTGTAACCTTTTAAATGAATCTCACTATAAAAGATTTACTGATTCTTTTTTGTGTCAAATTTTGTTTCAGCATTCTGGTGAAATGAAAAAGTAACCTTAAAATTACATCCATCTCAACAAAAGCTGCTGTTAAAATCACATCATTTTGTCAGGACCTCTCATTCTGGTGTGATTAGTTAAAATTATACATGTGAAGCTTTTTCCAGCCTGATGACCGACCCAGACAGAGGACATTTGTACCAACAAATTTCAGGTTTAAAGTGGACAATTTTTTGTTTCTTATATGTACCGGATGTTGCAGACATTTAACTCTTAAACTGCAGGAATGGTAGAAACAGTCAGGCATCAAATTGAAAAAAAAATATAATACACAGTATTATCGAAGTTCAAAGCTTCATAAAAATGCTGCAATTTTCAAAGCAACAAAAAGTCACTTATTAAATTAACAAATAGACTTCTATGTCCTCAATTAGGTTTTCAAACACCAATCAACTATGCTCTGACCTTCCCCAGCTTACAACTAAACTTTATAGTTTTTTATTTGTAATAAAATGTTGAAAAATGACAGATTTTAAGGAAGACATCTTAGTAAAAGTTCAGAAGTCGACACTTCTTCAACTAAAGCTTGTTACTACTTGGCCATGAATGAGGGAGCTGTTTTAAAAGTTTTTAATGTAATTCCTCCTTAGATACAATTTCTTTGACTACTTTGTTTTTTTTTTTTCTATTTTCAGCGTCTTTTAAGTGATACCAGAAATGGGAAAATGAACTGTGCCAGCAAAATGGGACAAGAAGCAAGATTTTAGTCCAGAGCACATCAGTCAAACTCAAGGCCCACGGGCCAAATCCGGCCGCCATAAGTTTTCATGTGGCCCTTTAGACTCATCGGGGGCTAGTAACCAGCACCTTCAAGCTAACAGTTGAGTGCTTACATGTGATTTTATCAAAGCAGATTTTATTTGCATGGGGCCAAAATGCATCAATGTGAAAAGAGGCTCAATATTATTTAATTTCTAGAATGAAAGGAGAGAGATATTTCTTAATCTTAACAGTTTGTTGATGAGTGGTTTTATCAAATCGCTCTGCCATAACCAGTTCTTTTAGGACATTCATAATGTTGATCTGACACAAAATTAAATGCGAAAAGAAAAAAATGAGAGGTTTATCTACTGTTCTTTCTTTTCAACAGAGGGAATTTAGGCTGCATATATGAAATATGGTATCTGGAGCCAGAACGTATGTTGCTTACAGCAGGCTGCTGTCACCCACAAGGTTTTCATGAAGGACAGCAGCACTGACAATGTGGAAATGGCTATTAAACCCCATTCAAACTTGTCTTCCTTTTCATTACTCTGAGGGTGCCCAAGCGTTTCTGCTTCATGTCTCCAGTCACCATTCTGTAGAGTTGCAAGTGCAATTATATTTTTTTTATCTTGTAATATTTAGGTTTCAGCATGCACATGTCTGAACTGCATGTAATCATACCAGCTATTTAAAGAAACTACTTTTAGTGACAACCAGAAAATAGCCTAAACTGAGCTTTGATTTTATTTATGTAGCACTTTCCCAGCAATGGTACATTTAAAAATGCTTAACAAGTTAAAAAGAAATAAAATAGTAAAAAATAAAAAAAAAAATGCAATCTGATCCCAAGGTTTTAAAATGATGAACACAAACTGAAGCAGTCTGTGATAAACCAAGTACAATACGACTAAAAGCCATATCAGTGATCTGATTTGTCTTTTGTCACCACTATGTATGGCGGTAAAGAGGGATGGATGGTCTAGTTCTTGCCTTCGACATCAAACAAGACAATTTGTTAATTTATCGGAACCGTACGTTGTAGCACATGCTTTGCAGCGTTGATTTTGTGCTGACAAGCTGTAGGTTTACATCTTTCTCACCCCATCACCCACCGCCGCATAACTTTTCCCGTCATTTTCTCAAGCAAGGAGCACTCAAGTTGCTTCAGGTCGCTGTGATTACAGTGAACGCTCAGATTGTCCCGGAGCTGATCAGCTGAGTCAACCAAGAGCTTTTTCTGCTTCTTCAAACACATATAGTCTCCGTCTCACACATATATTGTTCTGGCTATAAAATCCTACTGAGAAAAATCACTTAGTTGTACAATTTTTGGTTGATTGTTTATGAAGAGAAGTGTGATTCAGAGCAGCTAAATAGTAAATTGATGTCAGAGACACAAATTTGTGCTTCTGTGTAACTCCTCCATGGAAATTCTCTCTAGATCTTTCAAACCGGAACTGCCGTCTGTGGCAAGTGGTCTGCTGGCTGTCATCCAGGGAACTGACACTGAAATGGTGAACTAGTATAATATAAATACCTGAGTATCCACCTGAACAATAAACTGGACTGGAGTCACAGCAGTGATGCTCTTTACTGCAGGGTTAAGAGGAGACGGTACCTGCTAAGGCTGAGAGCTCTTGGAGTGCATCTTATGCGTTCTTGTTCATTCTATTTACCTCATTTTGAAGTTGCTAATTAAAACTATTTATGGGTTTTATGTAATTACAGTCATTATAAAAACAAGTTTTGATACAGTTACTGCTTCCGTAGGATTTTAGATGGAAATTAGCTGCCAGGCTGAAGTAATCAATTCTGCCTCATTATTTCATCTTTAACAAGTCTCTGCATTCCAAAAACACATTTTTTTAATGCGTTTCTTAGCATTGTTGTCTATGTTCAAGGGTAAATGTCTTAGTGCACTTGAAATAAGACAAAACAATCTTTAAGTAAATTTTCAGAAATATATAGGAGCTTGACTTAGGTCAATAATTTCTGAACATTGATCTTTCTTTTCATAAAAACAAAGAACTAGTTCCACTGGCACAGTTTTCGACTTATACAATGGAAAGAAATGTCTTTTTAAAAGTGAAACATTCTGCCAGTGGAACTAGTAATTCTTTTAAAAATCAATATTAAGGAATTATTGCTGGAAAGTTAGTTGCCAGCTCGTTTTGTCTCATTTCAAGATGCCACAGAAACTAGATGATGAAAATATTTGGTAAGATTTTGTGTTTTTGCAGAGTAAAAGCTGTTCTTCTGGTATTTTGCTTCGCTAAAACATAGAAGAATGTGTGCCACAATGACAAAAAGAAAAGACATCAGTAAGTAGAGAAGTAGTTGCCAAAAAAGGCCAAAAATCATTTATTTTAACTGATACTGAGAGTGAACAGGTATTGCTAGTTTGGCAGTGCTGCCAGGAAAAGGATAATCGTACAGCCTTTATTTAACTAGGATAAAACTCCTTGAAATCAAAGATGTCTTTTACCAGAGTATTCTGACATGCTTGTAAAAGTTGCATCAAAATGAACCACAATACTTGTGGAACAATATCCATTAGATGGATGAGACCGGAGTGAAGTTTATCAGCACATTTTACCAACAGTAATGCGACTGAGGTCATTTGTTTTTCAACCACAGCACCAGGACACATTGCAGAAAGAGATTCACCCGGGAACTCCTCTGTATACCAAAGTGTGACTCAAACTGAGTCATCAACAGGACAACGGATGCCAAACACAGCAACAAATATGCCACAGGATGGCCGAAAAAGAAAAGAATCAAGGTTTCAGTGGCAGGTAGGACAATGATGAAACCCTGAGAAAGTTGAGCATAAATGAAGCAGAAGTTTGAAAGACCAAGGAGCTGGTAAGCTATTGCAAAATATTCTATGAATCCTTTTTTTATATCAAGCTGCCAATATTTCCAGCCATTGTTAGCGAACAAGCACAACAATGTAGGCTGCACCTCCAAGGGTTTTTACACCCTTAGCCCCTGAAAAATGGCTGCTTAGCCCAGCACAAAATCTCTAATTCTCTCCCTTAGGGACAGACCTGTGGTTAGAGTACACAGTATCTGGCCCTAACCTCGTCTTTACCCCCAGCTGCACAGTAAAGACACATCCTGCACAGCTGTTGGTTTAGAGGGAATACAAAAAGCTATGTGCAGTGGTCCATGCTGTTAATAGCCTAAAGAGGTGATTATACTAAAAATGTTGTGAGCAACTTACATAGAGACACGAGTTAAGGTGCTGCTGTCTGAATTTTAAATCTTTTCCTCTTTTGTTCCCAGCAGTCATGCCCTGTTTATTTGTGAAATTCAGTTCACAGCAGTTTGTGTAAAGATGAATTATTTTTGTCTTTATATTCACAAGGTCAAGGTTTCTGTCTTCTGAGTAAAGGGGTTCATAAAAAGTAAAGAACAATACTGTGTAGTTGAACATGTTCAGTTGACACACACACGATGGGCTTGAATGACATTTAAATTTTGGGCTTTTGATAAGTGTGTATATATATATATATATATATATATATATATATATATATATATATATATATATATATATAGAAAAAAAATATGCATTCAAATTATACATCCACCCCAACTAACATTTGATTAAAGATACTTTACCAAGTTGTTGTGCAACTTAATGCCATT